TCAGGCTTTTAACGGATTTATCGATTTGTTTTTTGCTTCTTCTTTTTTTAAATGCTCTTACCCTTCCTCTTTTTACATTCTTATCTCATTTAATCTTTATCTTTTGTTATTTTAGTTATAGGTTTTAGTTTTGATGCATTTTATGTCTCTGTTTAGATCATTCTTACCTAGCTATTAACTTAATTTTATGAGCTAAATAGCTTTTTGTTTATTTGGTTCATTTTATACCTTTTATCCTATCCTACTGTTTTAGTCCCTCAGTTTTTAGCTCCAGTGTTTCCTCATGGGGGCCTACCACACTAAGAGTTGTTCCTGGTCTACCGATGGGGGTGCCATCCCGTGGACAGATCTGACCTGGGTGGCTGAAGGGCACTGCACCTCAGTGTGGAGCCTCATGTCTGACCGGGTCGGGGTGATCTCTACGGCGGCGCTCCCTATGGCCGTGGACCGTGGGCCCTCTCAGTGTGGACGGCCCCCAGAGGTGGCTTTTTCCTTGCCTCAGGTCTCGGTGCTCGGCCATGTCTCTCGAGTGATAGCTAGTGTGTGTGTGTGTGGGTGTGTGTGTGCGTATGTGTATGCTTATGTATCTCTATGTGGGGTGGGAGGGTTGGGTTTTCTCTTTTCTTTTTTGTTTTCTGTTTTGGTTCTTTGTTGTTTTTAACCTCTGTGAGGCACTTTGTGTTACTGTCGTATGAAAAGTGCCATATAAATAAAGTTGATTTCATTTGATTTCATTTGATTTGACTTTGATTTCAAAAACCTAAATATCCTCTCTCCACCATGTCCCCATGCTCAAGCACTTCTTTAATCTCAGCCTCAACTCGTCCAAGCCTATGTAGCATGGACGTATAAGAGACAGTTTGTCTTTCCTCTAATTAATCTAATCACAATTACTTGCTCTTTTCTTTTGGATCCTCCTACTTTAATCTGTACTTGTCCTCATTTTGTCACACGATTCTAATACAGCTGCCACTATTTGATTATTTTCTTCCAAACTATGCTTTGCTGCAGTCTGTATTTCCAGTGTATTCATTTGTTGATACAATGAAAGGCATGTGCGTTTTTTTTCTTTTCTCTTATCCAACATAATGTAGCAATATTAATAGATAGATAAACAACAACAACATCACACAACACAGTAATAAGTTGTGGAAGAAGTATTAATTAATGGAAGTACCAACACAATGATATAATGAAAATACATGGTTACACACACACACACACACACACACACACACACACACGTATAAATATATACCATATACCCTCAATGTCTCTAAATACATATATCACATATTTATATTTGCAGAATTCGAGCAACCACAGACGTTGGCACATATGAATTGCATTTTCTCTCTTATCATTATCATCAATATCATTACATCATTACATTTGTTTGAGTGTTTTCCCTTACCTTATCTTAAATGGTGGAAACGTTGAGATCATTAAAGTTTTAGTTGTTGCGTAGTAAAGTTGCCCACTGTGCAAAGATATGAACTCAAGTTCAGCTAAAACTTCCAGTTAGTATTTTATTCTGGAATATTGTTAACCATAGTGTTCCAGCTGAGCTCCTGACTTTGTCTGTTTGATCAGACAATTGACCAAATATGTTACTAGCTCTATTAAGTACTCCTCCACTGGTCTGTCTTTGAAATTATCGGCATATGTGCAGATTTCAGGGGGGATGAAGGGGACACATCCCCCTCGATATTTAGAACATGTGCATTTGTCCCCCCCAATAGATACATAAAGGTAGCAGAGAACTTTTATTTCAAAAAAACAGACATTTACGCCATAAACTAATGCAGAAAATATTCAAGTTGGTGCATGAAAATACACCAGTATAAAGGAAATTAAGTGTCTGACACTTGAAATTTTCTGGCGGAGGACCCCCAAACAACCAAACCACCATTTCATCATTTCAAGACTGGGTCATTCTCAAGCAAGGATGGCACAAGGTTCATCACTTTGTGAAAAAAATGTGTGGGCAAAGAGTCCAACAGTTTAAGAACAACATTTCTCAGAACAGAATTGCAAAGAATTCTGGGATTTCACCATCTACAATCCTTAATAGAGAGAATCCAGAGAAATCTCTGCAGGTAAGTGGCAAGACTAAAAACCAACATTGAATGCTTGTGACCTTTGACTCCTCAGGCAGCACTGAATAAAAACAGACATGATTGTGTCAAGGATTTTATTACATGGGCTCAGAAACACTTTGGAAAACCCCTGTCGGGAAAAGCAGTTTGTAAAGACAAAGTTTAGATTCTACTATGCAAAGTGAGAGTCATGTATCAACAACATCCAAACACAGCTGACTTCTTGGGGCCCGAGCTCACCTGAGATGGACCGACACTAAGTGGAGAAGTGTGCTGTGGTCTGACAAATCCATTGTGGATGTTGTGTCCTCCAGGCTAAAGAGGAAAAGGACCATCCAGATTGTTACCAGCTCTAAGTTCAAAATGCCCATAGCATTATGGGTAATGCTGAAAGCTGAAAGGTACATATGCTGCCATCCAGACAACATCATTTTCAGGGACATCCCTGCTCATTCCAGCAACACAACGCCAAGCCACATTCTGCACGTGTTACAGTTAAAGAGTCTGGGTGCTATACTGTCCAGTCTGCAGTCCAGAACTGTCTCCCATTATAATGTGTGGGCCATTATGAAGCACAAAATGCAATAATAGAGATCTAGGACTGTTGAGCAACTGAAGTTATATCAAGCAAGAATAGGAAAAAATTCCCCTCGTAAAACTTCATCAATTAGTGTCCTCAGTTCCCATACGCTTACTGAGTGTTGTTTAAAGAAAAGGTGATGTCCCACGGTGGTAAACATGCCCCTGTCCTAACTTTTTTGGAGCATTTTGCAGGCATCAAATTCAGAATGAGTGTAGTTTTACAAAAAAAATAAAAAAAATCTTAGTTTGAACATTAAAGATCTTGTCTTTGTATAGCTCAAAAAAGATTTACAAATCATTTCATTCTGGGTTTTTTTTAACGTTTTATACAATAAAACATTTAATAAAATACATTTAAAAATGTTTTCAGTCTATTGTTTTTACTTGTACTGTAGTATTCATGTATTCTGACTGCGCTTTACTGTCTGTTTTTACAGTGTGTTGCCAGAATGCCAAAAGCAGTTTTCTTATCTTATCTTGTCTTATCTAAATTATTCTAAGTAATAGAATTTTGACTTTTTTTCCCCCCATACTAATATTTCACTTGTTGTGTTTTTTTTTAATAATAACATAATTCATTTGCATTTTAAGAATGACAGACGAGTGGATGTTTGACTAAAGCAGCTGTTTTAGTTAAACATCTGGCTGGTCACTTACCACCCAGTGTAAAAAAAGAAACTGAAGCTGACAGGAATTGTCTCTGTCAGTCACATTTTTCTCTCGCTGATCTGTGTGTGGGGCAAAGCTATTTACCATGTGCCCACTCAACGCAAACATTTTGACATGTCATAACACAAAAAGCACAGGTGTTTTCTAATGATATTAATGATAATGGCTGCCTGCTGGTTCACTGTCACACACTTTAATAAAAGCAGGTCACTGTTCATTGCATCACTTCCACCTGGGCTTCTCTGTTGCAACAAGCCAAAATGTGCAAAGTAAAAAGTCATTAAACATCTACACTACACAGCAGGTTATTAAGTTCAGCTCAAAGGGAACAGCCTTTGTAGAAAAATACATTTAATAAAATTTGAATGTGACTGTTGAGATGATAGAAATCTCATTTTCTATCCGTATACATCAGATGTATGAGATCAACACAAGGTGATGACCAGTAATTCTTGGTGGGAGCTTTACTGATAAGGAATTAGCCACTAATTGCTTAGTAATAACACCACGCACCTAGTGGAAACATCTGATAGTAAGACAGATACATGTCACACTTTGGTCCTTATTTGGTGTTTTCCTCTTCTGACGTGTCTGTATACTGTGGTCTCGGGGTGTCAGAGTGTCAGCATGAGGACAATATATAAGTAGCAACAGTAGTAAGAGTGAGTATTCAGCTTTCCTGCTCAACCTGACACGGCTAGCTCAGTTTCTTCTAAAGACATGAAGACCATTCAGTGTTTGACAGTGGTGGTGATGATGACTGTGATGGTCTACACAGCATCTTTACCTAAAGATGAGCTGCTGAAAGACATTCATGATGCGGCACTAAATATGTCCAAAATTAATACGGTAAGAAAACTACAAAACTAAATGTGGTTTGTTTGTTTGTTTGTTTGACAATATACTGACTTATACTGTATATCTTATTTTGTCACTGCAGACACTGGATTTGTATGTCAAAAAGATAGGACCAGAAGGTGGCCCAACATGTGTGGTATGTTGGAAATCTATTCTGATAATTGTTAATATTGTACACACGTCTCACGTAGTAGAAGTGACTTTGCATTAAACTTGAGATGATGACGTTTAGCTGATTTCTTTAGACTGATTCAGTACTAACTCCAGCGTGTTAAATCCCATTACTAAAGTGCCTTTCTCTTCACAGCACAACTTCTTCTGTTTGGCTGAGAAGTCTCTGGAGACCGCCACAAAGGAACACCACTTGCATGGAGAAAGACTCATCCGCCTGTTGAAAAGATTCAACAACGAGGTAAAGAGGATTTCAGTGTGATTGAACATGCTTTAAAGTCCTGAACTAAAATTCATGAGTAACATTTCAAATGGTTTACAGTGACTCTGAAAGGCATCTGTTCCTGCGATGTTCTCTATCACTTTAGCTCAAGATCTTTGTGTGCTTAAAACTAAAACTGTCATATGGTATTATTTCAGACTGGGATTACCCATTGTCAGCTGAACACAACCAATGAGCACAAACTTAAGAAATTTCTGGAAAACATCATGATGTGTGTGCACCGCTGGAAGATCATCCACAACCATCAGTGAAATGACATCAATGAGTTGGAATAATCGTATGTGTTATTTAACGCCTGTAATATACATAACTTAACTTCTATTTATTGTAAAACATATTTATTTTCCTACACATCTTATTTTTATAGTATCTGTATTTGTACACCAATAAATTATGACACAGTGGTTTGTTGTTGCAGTCAACATTTTTCACAGCGTGCATGTTCATAATGTTTAAGGTATCATTCTTATTATTCAAGTTAAACTGTGCAGTCAACCAGTAACAGCTGTTTCACACAAGACTTTTGAACATGAGGCCACTTTTTAAGACACCAATTATTTACTGGGTTTACACATTCTCCAACAGCAGGTAATGCAATCAAAAATAACACGTTTATGGCTGTTACATGCCATCATGATCTTTCTTTTTAAAGCTCCAATTAAAAAAAAGAAACAGAGAAAGAGCAACAAGAATGTGAGATAAAACGTGTAAAATAATTTAATAAATAAAATATCCAGGGGGTTTGGTGGACGTAAACATTTGACATACATTATGGTACAAAATAAAAGTCAGTTTGCCTCCACTACAGATCATGAAATCAAATTCTCTCCACAAAAACCTCACACTAGTGCATCAGAC